AGCCCGGTTGCTCTTCTCACAAAGTGTCATACCCAAAGGCACAGGGAGAAATTCCCTGGCTAACAGGCTAGCAAGTCACCTCCTCACACTGGCACACTCCTGCACTGTTGCGTAAAACAAGGAATAAGAATTGCTCACTGGAGAGGAGAAGGAAAACAAGAGGACAGGAATTCGACCAGCTTCTGCAAAACCTCAAGGCAGCAGCTTTTTTTGCCAAGTATTTTGCTCATGCATGAAGTGGACAACTGGTTTTTATTACTGGGACCTCTTCAAAGTTGAAGAGCCATTTTTGCTGAAAACAGAAATGTGCAGATTTCCAAGCAAGTGGAGCTGGGTGGATTTGGCTTTACATCTTTGTTCAGCTACTTGCAGGACTCGCTACCACAACAGACTGCAGTCCCACAGCATAGCATACAAAGCGTCCCCTTGGTAAGAAGGGCAGGGCTCAGACTCTTCCAGCCAGCAGCCTGCATTAGAGCTATTGCCAAACTAAAGAGCAGCCTCTGTTTGCTCATGTCAGCCATACACCAAAAAAACCCCACCAAACAACAAACCCAAAAAAAGAAAAACATCTGAAAATCACCTGAAGGAAAGTTCTGAGACCCCAATATCCAAGACACACATGAAACATAACAAAATTAATTGACCACAAGCACAGTCTTTTAAGGCTTGGCAAATAGCAACCTCTCTGATTTTTATCCTATGCAAGAAAATTGCTCCTGCAAGACAAAAATCTTTATGTTGGCAATTAAAGAAACAACCTCCTCCTAAACACCACTATAAAATACTGTTGCACGTACATAGGAAACCTGCTGGATGTAAAGCACGTGCTACATCCCCCTCTAGTGCTGAACTACTACAGAATAACAACCTAATGCTGCTACTGCTTTCTTCAGGTGGAGCAGAGACCTTTCTGCAATAATCCATAATTAAACTCCATAAAAAACCTGAAAGACAGCTACCACATGCGAAAGGCACTTTATGGGGTGATTGCTCTACAGAAGATGGATTCACAGGGGCTGAGAAGTCCAAGAGTCCTTAAAATTAACAAGATTTTAATACTTCCTAAATACCAATGTGAATCCAGGACAAATTTGTTTCATTTAGCTAGTCTCCTTATTCATTCTGTACTTCCTTTTAAAAACTAGGGAGCTGTACACATCACACACCTGATCAACACCTATCCCATGGCATCACAGGTCTTCAGAGCTTCACCAAGCACCTAGGCAAAACAGCCCCTCTATGAGCACCAGCTAGAATTATGACCCTCCCAGTCATCTTCCACCACAGCAGCCATGGTCTTGCAGGCCTTATTCAGGTAAGGAGCCTGGCTGAGTCAGGCAGGGAGCACCAGCTTTCACCAGCTACCTGAATTCTGTTGCATTATCTTGTCTCACCTCCTGCCTCACCTACAAGGACCATCAGGCCTGACACCAGGGGTGTACCAGCCCTACAGGTCTCCAAGGTGCATGACAGCTCACACCAAAATCATGCGGACTGCGAGTCTTAGTTCTCAAGCATGCATGGCAGTGTGTGTTGCATGTCCCAGACTCTCCCATGCTTAGTGACACAGAGCTCTTCAGTCTACATTTACCTTGTGTCCCTCTGTGCAGGAGTCTCAGGCTGTTAACAGGAGAGGGAAGAAACCAGAGAGCAGTCAGGCATCAGGGAAAGTCAGAGCCGAAGAAGGCCCTGGGGGCTGGAGAGAGCAGAGGCAGTCTGGCTTCAGCAGGTTACCTGGGTCAGGCTGGGTAGAGCTCAGGATTTACAAGCAGCATGGGCACAGATACTGGTCTAGCTGGCAGCCCCAGCTGGATGTGGGAACACAGCAGTACAGCACAACACCAGCACCATGCTCCTCACCCCATCCTTCCTCATCAGCTGACAGAGCCTGCTTACACAGTCCTTCCAACCTGATACTACAGGCACAGAGCACACAAATTTTATCAAAATGCCTCTGTGGCCTTCTGGCAAAAACACCATCACTCAGCAGAGTGGTGCAGCTGAGGCTCCTGTACCAGCCAGCCATGTTTCACCACCAGCTGCAAGCACTCTCTGCCTCCTCTTTTTATTCAGCCTTTAGGAGAATAAACTCAATCCTTCTTTCCAGGTGGGTGAAACTTGCCAAAGAACAGCTGAACATAGGTCTTTATAATGGAGGTGTTTGAGTAACCTTAGTGGCAGGTGTTGAGAGCAGCCCTGCCTATGAAAACTTGAGGTGAAGGCTCTTGATTTAATTATTTTCCTGAAACAGAACTACTAGTACTCTTGGTAATATAACTGTTACAAAACCTGCAAGCTGCCTACCACCCTTTCCTCCCATTGAAACAATGAGAGTGGAGGATGTTCAGCAAATTATACCACTTGCCCAGTTAATAAACAATTCACAAAATTATGCACTGTTTTGAAGTGCTCTATAAACATATGTTAATCAATCATTAAATAATTAAGATAACTCTCTGTTCTTTTTCTCTGGCACTCCCGAGTTGATGGATGTTCCTATAGCAACAGAGGAGCAGGAGTGAGGGCAGGGGAACGCGGGGCTCAGAGGCGATGCTTGCACAGGACCTTTGCTCTCCAGCCCTCCAAAAGTCACGCAGGGCAAGCGGAAGGGGGCTGCCAGAGGTGACATGCAGGAAGGAGGCTTTCAATTTTAATGGAAATTCTAACGATGACAGTCTATGCAAATAGGTACATGAAAGAGGAGAGGAAACAGACCGGGGGGAAGGGGGAGAGAAATTAACCCTGGTTCAGATTTCAAAGCAGAGCCAGGAATAATTTTTGGAGCTAAGAATAGTTGCAGTGCATCTTGTTCTCACTGGGCTCGAGCCTTGCATAATCCTTGGACTCGGGGTCTGAAATTTCAGCTGGGAGGGGGAGGGAAGTCAGCCTGAACAGTCCAGGAAATGTGGCTGTCCAGTCTGCAGCTCCATCACCTTTATGATTCCTTTGTGTCACCAAAAAGCACTCTTTAACAAAGGAGCTGTCCTTCTGCTTTTGCAGGGCCCTTGCAGTTGTTTTGCAAATGAGATTGCTTGATTGGTGAGCAAAATCAGAGATCTTTTGAAGCTGTTGCCCAGGAAAGGGGGAGGGCAAGGAGTTCAATTATCCCTCACACTAAGTAGCAGGATCAGCTTCATCCTATAAAGAGCTGTTGAGAATGAACCAAAGCAACTTCTGAACTGACTTTTACATAAATTTCATCAGAAATCCCAGGAAGAACTTAGAGCCACCTGCAGAAAAGATCAGAGTCTGCTGAATTCCCAGGAGATGCTCCTGTCCCTTTGCAGCCTCCTCACCTCCCTTGAAGACAGCTGAACCAGAGGCTGCCCCAGCCCCAGCCAGTCCCCAAGCAGGCAAATAGGGTCTTCAGCTTGTTGGGAAATCTGCTGAACCAACACCAAAGGGCAGCTCCTCCACTACAACCAGCCTGCAGACCTTCTGGAGCTTATTGTGTAGATCACATTAACACCTAGTGGGAATCCACTGGGAGATCTTTTTAAATCAGAAAACAGTTTCTGCAACACAAAAAGTGCCTATGGGAAGAGAGGGGTGCTGCTGACAAGAAATGATGTTTTGTCACAGTGAACTGGAACCAAGCACTTTGCTTCAACTACCACAAATTTTTTCATTTCAGCTGAGTTCAGCGTGGAAAGGAACTTTCCCGAAAAGGCCTTGTTTTTTTTTTTTCCTGTGCTTGGGGCTTGTGGCTGAGCACTCACTGAGAACAATGTGGACCTTACCCAAGTTTTATGGGAGCTGGGCAGAGCTCCCAAGCAGCACAGACCAGAGGAGAGAATGGGACCCAAAACCAGGGAAAGGCACTGCCTATTTTAATGTTAAGCAGACTTGAAATTAAACATTTCATGTCAGTTCAACAAATTGAAACAAAACATTCCTACCTCAGAAATGTCAAAATGCTTCACTTTGATCCAAAAAAATGTCAAAACAGAACAGGGAAACATTTCTGAACATGACTGTTATAATTCCAGGAAACAATTTTTCCTAATTTTTGCCCCAGTTTGTTCTGTTCTGAAAAACAGAAATTCAAAATTTCACAAAGCTGTAGTTAGTGCCATTTATCACAGGAGGGACCAATACTGCTTATACATGCATGTGTGTGTGAGCATTGTCATTCCTACACACAGCACATCCACTGTGCCTTTCAGTGGCACCCCCAGGACTCTCTCTCTCAGGGCTGGTTTCACCACCAAAGAGCTGCCAGGCCTCCAGCCCCATGACCAGAGAATGCCCTTCAGTCTGTAGGAGGTCCCACATGCCTGGGAATATCCAGTACAGGTGCACTGTCAAACACAGGTGGTGGCTGTCCACAAGTTACCTTAAAAACAGAGTGTTTAGGGCTGGCACAGCCATCTCTACCATCACCACAGGGTTCACACACAACCCAGTTCAGAGTCCTCCTGCTCTCCTCCAGGGCAGACCCAGGGTTTGGTGCTGATGTGAATAACAAGAAACTGGTTTGAATAATCTCCTGTTTTGGGAACAAGTGTTAAAAACAGCATGTACTTTTAAAAATGAGGGAAGAGTGTAGGAATTTCACAGCTGCGGTATAATTTGACCTGTGATGTTAATTTATGTTGCTCAAGATCCTCTCCCCTGAGCATAATTAAGAACATGCTAATATGGAGAAAGATGACATGCTCCTAATCATGCACTGCATGCCCAAGGTGGATCCACGTATCTACTTTCACCTCAGTAAAGTGTAGTCCTAACGCTGCATCCAGTAACAGTTTGATGACTTTGTATGGACTCTCCTACAGCGTTCTTGCTGTCCAGCTGAGGGCTACAAATATGGCTGGCTGTGTCACTGGTCCCTTAGAGAAAGTGCTCCCAGGAGTTCTCTGTGCCAGGCAACAGCTAAACCAGGGAATAAAATCTTCCCCTGTGCTCCCTCTCTGCGCACCAAAGCTTTTTAGCTGTTCTGTTTCCCATTTGCTTAGAATAGACTTCTTCTTCCAAAAAGCTAAAAGACATTCTAAAACATCTCTGTATATTTATTTTTCACAGTCTTTCAGTGTTGACTTCCTCTCCATGACATACCTTCAGAGTCCCCTGGTGCCAAGTCCTGTCTTGTTCCTGTAAGCTGAGGACACTGTAAGGGATCCACTGTGGCTCTCTTGCACTGGTGGGATAGCTGACATGACCGGATTAGCCACATACACCTTAGCCCTCTAGACCAAACTGGCCAGGACTCTATGCTCCTCTCCTGCCAGACTCTCAGCACTCATTGCCTTGGTTTCCCTACTATAGACCAGTCTTTCCCTGGTACCTTCACCTGGGGGAATTTTCTGTATCTTGGTCTCTTCCTTACTGAGGGAAAAACCCTTCTTTCAAATATTTCCCAGCTGGCATTTCTGCAAAAGCAGCACCTATCATCATCCCTGGACATACAGTGTTGCACCAGGAGACATATTTCTCTCTTTTTTTATAATAATGCATAATAATATTTCATTCTGCTAATTCTCTGATTGTCTCCAACACTTCCAAACTCATTCACCCTCTAACCATGTAAGAATAAACTGCAGGGACAATTCATATTGCATCTACAGCTGAACACTCTCTTGCATTCCATGGCTGCCCAAACAGTACCCTCTGGACTCATTCCCTGTGGGTTGGCAGGATCTCAGGGCTTACAGGCTCTCTGAAGCTTGTATCTGATGCAAAATCAGTTTCTTGCTGAGATGTTGCAGTTTCTTCATAAGGCTCCTGCAAAAGCCTAAAAGAACATGCAGAAGACTATCCATGACAGGGCTGTCCTGAGCTGCAAGAGGATCATGGATCTGAGATGGGCTGCCTTCCAGGTGATGATTGTTGCCACCTCCTCGAAACAGCTTGCAGCAGCCTTGCCAATTGCTGGGTTTCATCCCTAAATATAGGAAGGTTTTAGGCTTTATGTGATGAAGATAAGTAAGAGATCTTCCTTGTAGGGACAGAAGTGTACTGACACTTCAAGGAAGCAGTACAGCCCCTTTGAGAACCAAGGTATGCATTCTTTTAAAAATAGAAGATAATAAGATAAAGTATAACCACGGGAAGAGAGAAAATTGGTGTGTAGGTTATGTTCCAAAAGTCTCCTCACTGAAGCTTCAGAGGTTGCCATCATCCCCCTTGAAGATTATTTCAAGACTAATATATGGATCTTGAGTGTGGCTGTTACCATGGGCACATATCTAATCAAATGGGGCCTAATTATGTATATTACCCAGTGTGGCATTTGGAAGCACTTCAGTGATGATACTTCTGCTTGTCTGACAAATAACATGATTATTCAGTAAGCTGCATATGTTTTAATGTTGGATTTTTGTTATTTGGTAAGAAACTGTCTAGCTAACCAAAAGTGCTTCTCACTTGCAAAGTCATAGCCATTAGCAACCAAATTCAATTAATTACGTTTGATAAGCTAATAAATATATTTAGGACTTTTTGTGCTATGCTCAGTCACCTTTAGAAAACACTTCATCATTAGTCACCAAAAAATGAAGTGTTCTCTTTTTTCCAAGGATGAGAGCACTTGAAAAATTAAGTTTAACATTATAAATTACAATGTTATTTGCTTTAAAAATAGATTTTAAAATTGATGCTTGCCTTCAGCTTCAAAACTGGTCTGAAAACAGATCCTTTATAAATGTTTTGGATTTATGGGAAAAGCAAGGAATTTTTCAGAATCATGTCAGAAAAAAAGTTGGTGACGCTCATTCTCATGGCCTCACTATATTAAAAATGTGTCCTCCCACCCTGCTACAATGCCCCCCAACACAAATAGAAGGCAAGATTTTTTCCTGTGACACCCACAGAAGAGGAGATTGCCAGCAGAAAGACAGTGAGATGGGTAGTGACAGAGGCTGCAGAGCTGGGCCATGTTTTAAATAATCTGTGACAATGAGCTGGGAGACAAGACAGGAGCCTGACAGGCTTGGGTCAAGGTCCTGGGGAGAGGAGCAATCCTACCTGTGCATACAGCAATGTGCTTTCCTTTTCTGTCTTTCTGCTAGCTTTACTTGACTAGTTTTCTTATAACTATATTTAGGAAAAAGAAAGAGAAAGACCCCTCTGGAATTGTGTTGTTTTACCTTCAATCCCCATCACACCCACACAGCTGCCAGAAGGACACACAGTTGGGAGAACCTGCCAGTTAGAGCAGCCTCTTTCTTCCCCTCTTCCATGCCCTGAAATGATAACAAGAGAAGAAAGAGACCTTGTAAATCACCAGGTAACCAGAGGCACACCACCTTCTGTGCTTTTCTTCCCGTGACAAGGATTCCCCAAGTCTGCAAGAGAGAAATAGGCAAAGTGTGGAGTTCAGTACAGGAATGAAACAAACTCCTGAGCTGCAGGAGGAACTGGTAGAACAGAACAGAAAACCACCCAAACTGGAGGTGTCCCATCAAGACTAGCAGTAAAAAAGTGCCTCTACCAGAGTGAGCGATGAGTAGGTCAGACCATGACAAGACAGAAGAAGTACTTGGCAGGATGAGCCATGTGATGTCCAGATGAGAGATCACTGATACCAGCACAAGTTGTGGCAGGTTGGCTTAGTCACAATTCTTTTAGAAACCCATTGGTGAGCACAGCTGCTGATCAGAAAGAAGACAGGGACTCTCTTTTGCAGCCTCAGTGTGGACGTATGAAAGACCCCCACTTTCTTCAGCATGAGGTTACCTGCCCCAGCCACTGGATAGTGCCCAGTCTTACCACTATCTTCAGCATGAGGATACCTGCCCCAACCACTGGGCAGGTGGTTGGTAAGGGCATAACTTACCTGGCACTGCCAGGTAAGTCATGCCCTTACAGAGTGCTGAGTGCTCCTGCTCCAGCTGCTCAATTAGCTTGTACTGAGCTGGTAGGATTGGAGTTCATATGGCTGCCACTGTGACACTTAGGTTAGATGCCATTTATGTAAAATTGTAATGTCAATAATAAACCACAAAACAATAGTTGGAATATGGGTGTCCTTGCTACAGATGGGAGTGTATCATTCAATTCTGATTGTCATCTGATTCAGCCAGCAAATTCTGTGGCAAATCAATTTTGAAGTTCCCGGCTTCAGTTACTCTGTGACACCAGGCACCACACAGCCTCCTCTCCCTCCCCCAGCACCCCACATCATTAAAAGTAATTAAACTCTTGTCCTGTGGTGTCCAGGTGTCACAAGACACCTGGTAAGTCTCACCTCTAACCTCTAACTACCCTCTTGGCTGTGCTAGAATAGCAGCACTGCAGATGCTGCCTGTGGGGCTCAGTCTGCTCCCACCAAAGTGCTGGGTGAGCTGCTGGAAGGGCACCCCCAGCTCTGCCTGGTTTTCCAGGGCACAGTAGGGAGCTGCAAGTTAATCAGCAGTGCCCCACAGCAGGTCAGCACACACAGCTATCTGTGTTTACCCATGTTTGTCATTTTCCATCAACCTCCTTTTTCCTCTAAACCTCTTTGGTGTACCAATTAATCCAGAGGGTTTTCATTTACTCGGGCTGTCCAAATCAGCAACACACAAATACCCCCCACAATCTCTGCCAACAGCTCGTAATACATTTTAACTGCTCCTTGGCCTTTGATGTGTTAGCCTTCTGGGCAACATTATCATTACCCTTTATATACCTCTGTGGGTGAATGCAGCGCTGCACATGCTATGTACAACGGGTTTGTTTGTGCCTGAAATAAAGCACATTGTCCTAAGAACCTGCAAGAATTGTGCCCTCTTTGCTAGCAAAGCCCTGAACCAGCCCAAAACAAACACAAATAACATCCTGGGTTATGGAGAGCTTATTTTCAAACTGGAGGAGCAAATATAGGGAGGAACAGGAAAACCAAAAAAGGTGTTTGCCTAGGGAGAAGCTTTAGTGGGAGAAAAGAGTCCTGGTATACTCTGGAAGTATGGGCATCATGTCAAGGAAAGCAGATAGGGTGCCATGCAGATGTGCACATGCTAGAAGTACATATGGAATGGAATACATCATTCCAGCTGAAGTATCAGATGCAGGCAAATTCAGGAAAATATAATGGGAAAAATTTAGGGAGGCGGGATTATTGTGGTCCCAGACTGGGGAATTCTTCACAACTTTAGAGACATTTATGGTTCCGAGGTCTCTTGTAATTGAAATAGTTACAACTGTATTTCTCAGGGAATATAAATCAATGTGGGTGGCACCGGCTGACAATTTGGAAGGGTGCTCAGCCCAGCTGGGAAAATGTGAAAACAGTCAGAGCCCTGAAAGATTAGTTAGAGGTGGCATAGGTTAGCCAAGGTTGGTTCCACAGGACCCACACGACTCCCAGGTGCTTACAATAGAGGGGTGGAAAAACAAGCTCTGTGTAATAAGATATTTTAGTGGGAAATGATGGATATACAATGTTAATATGGGTACACCGTATTAACATACAGAGTACCTAAGCCCAGCCAGTGAGGGAGGGCATCCAGACTTTGCCCAGCCAGCCTGTAGCCCCTGAAGTTTTCTACTTGTCTTGCCAATTCTTTTACCAAAGGTAATAAATTTCTCCTCCAGTCTCCACAGTCACCCTCTAGCTGTAAAACAAAGTGCTGCTCATTGTTGCCCTCCTTTATCCAGAGGGCTGATTTTTTTTTTATAAATTCAAATAATAACTTCCCTGTTTGCAGGCATCATACTGTAAAGGATGGGCTCGTCTGTGCCCATGCAGCACAGACCTTGTTAAAGTGAGCATGGCCAGCCTCCAGATCCTCCAGCTCTGAAAGGGGCTTATACTAGATTAAATTAGGAGAAGCTCAGAAAGCTGAGAGGCAGAGAAAGGGGCTGCCTGCATTGGTCCCTAAAACAGGAATGAGCCCTTCCCCACTCCCCCGAAAGCACGTGGGGATAAATGGATCACAGAGAAGAGCTATTGAAACGTGTCTGGGGGAGGCCTGGTTTCAAGCAGGGTACGGGACACTGAACAATAGCTGCCATTTTGAAGCAACTGGAGCCCAGAGTGCTCTTGAGGAGGTGACGGAAAGCGCTGTCACAGGGTTCGACCCTGGCTTGTGAAATAAATGGCCCCTGAGAGCTCATTGTGCAATGGCTGCTGACGTGCAAAGCCAGCGCTGAAAAACATCAACTGTGCTTTCTAAAAATATGAAAGAGCAGTGCCCAAGGGATGTGGCTTGGGAAGGGAGAAGCAGAGGGAAGAGCCCAGCAGTGTTGCTGTATTCCTGCAGGATTTCTGGGAAGGCACTGTGCCTTTCTGTGCCCTGCTGAGAGCAGGGTCACACTGGGGCCCTGCTCATAGGAGTCACCAGCCGTGCAAACAAGCCCCTGGAGGAAAGAGCCCCTGTTCTTCATGAGTCCTCAGGGAAGATCACACCCCTACAGCAAGCTTTGCAGGTGGGAGATAATCCTCCAAGCCAAGCTGTTCACACCCTGGCTGCAACTGAGCAGGGACAAGGGGTGCTCCTGCCCCTGGTGAGCTCCTTGGACCTTCCCCACGAGGACAGTGGGCTGCAAGACCTTGGAAAGGTTTTGCTGTCCAGCAGGGCTGAAGGATGTGGCCAAACACAACCAGGCAGCGCAGCCCTGCCTCTGCCACTTCAGGAATCCTGGCCACTGTCACCACCTCTGGCTGCCCTTCCAAGCCCCCAGAGATGGGGGAGGCTCCTCAGCTGCAGGGGAGGCCGGCCAAGAAAAAGGTGCAGAAAGAGTTAAAGCTGGTAATTAAAATTCCCAGCAGAAAAATATGATCTGGGGAGAGAAAAGCATCCTTTCCAGCACTGCTAACCCCACATACTCAAAAATTATGCATCAGGCTCCAGAGAATCACAGCTTTAAAATTGCAAGGCATTTTGTTCTGTTTTTCACAGAAAATTATAAACATTTGAGCTTTTCCTACTTGCACTCTGGTTTCCTGAAATTTATGATCACATTTTCAAACTTTTCTGCAAATCCCTGAGGGCTACAAACTTATTTTTTTTAAAAATAGAATTGAGTAGCTCATCTAATGCCCACACCTTTGCACCAAACAACAAAGATAAAAGGCTTACACTAAAATGAGGAGTATAGGAAACACTGGAGATCTCAAGAATGAACACCCTGAAGTAATTTTTCTCTAGGGTTGCACAAAAAAATGTTAAGATGTTTTAACCAACATCACATTGCTTAAGTATTTTATTTGTCAGCATGAAGAACAGGTCTTCAGTGTCATTTTGTTTCCAATAATAATGTTGCTTGCAGCCAAGCGCTGCAGGAAAGTTAAAACTGAGGCTGCTCTCCCTGCCTTAGGGGCCAGAGGAGCACAAAGTTTCTAGGACCTTATGGTGTGCTCAGCATTGCTGCTGCTCATGGAGCAGGGAAGGCTGCAAAACATTATGCAGTGTGAAGCCCAGACCTGGCCTTCCATCTTTAGCCTGATCCATACAGAAATGTCTTGGCCAAAAGGGGCAGGTGGGTGCCATTAACTTATTTTCTTTGTGTCCAAAGGCACTGAAAGAACTGCCACATATCTTACAGGGGGACCTGTGTCACAGAGCAGGTAGACTGTGGGAAATATATCAGCCAGTAGAGAGGTCAGTGATCCTCCAAGATTAAAGGCTGATCTGAGTGTGAACTCGCTATCATGTCTCTTGAAAGGATTTGGCATGTAACAGCCTGATTATTGATTGCTGTCCTTAAGAGAATGTGATCCTCTCCTTTGCACTGATCCTGTTAGCTTTATTTACCACAGCACTTGCTGAAACATCCTCTCGCAGAGATAATGGCTTCCTTTGGTTGCTGTCAGAACAAATGGAAACAAAAACACGCTGCTAATAGTTGTGTCCTACTCTAATTAATTAAAGCAAGACAAAAGCACTGCATTGCCTGGGTGCCTGGAGAGGCCCCAAGCACAGGGGCTGACCACAGGAATACCAATAACACAGCAGTGCCTAACACACAAGCTTTCCACCAGCCCAGAAAGTCAGCAGCAAAACATTCATGAGGAATAGGAATATGTCTGGCACCCAAACTGGGATCTAGCCACCCAGAGGCTGCTGTTCTAGACAGACCTCAGCCCACATGGGCCTAAGGAGCTGCCAAAGATGGCAGATGGGTAAAGTACAAATTAGCAAAGGGTTTTCAACAGTCCTCTTGAAATTTTTGTGGCACATCTGCACCATACAAAAAAGCCAATAGCTCTGTCTAGGCAGGCAGTAACAGAGTTTTAGCAGGATGGTGGAAGAGAGGCAGAAATTGGCTCGCCTGCATCTTACAGCACAATGCTAAGCAAGGAAATAAGTCCAGCTCTCTTCCCTTGCAAGTGAAGACCATAAACTCTGCACATCCTGGCTCTTCAGACTGAATCAGGGTCCAGTCACAACAAGTACAAGTTGAAGAAAAAGGGAACAAAGTAAATGGAGTGCACCAATCCAAACTAAAAAGCAGTGGCATAGCCACAGCACTGAGCACTCACAGAGCTCACACTGTAAACAAACAAGTCCCCATATCCAAGTGCTGCTGAACACCCAGATACTTATTTATGATTTCTCTGCTGATGCATTGTGGTCACAAGAGCTTGGCCAGCAGTCCAGGACTATCCAGGCTTCAAACATCCCTTGGGAGGTGGTTTCAGGTGCCCCTTAGCTATGGTGCTGCCTTGTGAATCCCTGCTGTCCTCCATGCCCACTTGGGGTGCTCCCCTGGGCTGGAACACTCAGGACACCCCAGTGAGTGTCCTGTGGGAGCCAGTCTTTCACACCAGCATTTCTGTGCATGCGTGAGGGTCTTGGACTCTTTCATTAATCCTTGGCTATTCCTGAGCACCTTATTTCTTATTTTCCACTTTCCTAACCATCTCCTGTATTAAATCTTCATATTCATTATGTAGGAAGAAGGAAGAAGGACTAGTGCATGTCACTAATTGAGCAGTTTAAAGCTATGATGTTAGAACTTGAGCACAACCTAATGAAAGAAATGACTTAAAATATAAGCTTTGATACAAAATAAGTATACTCACCTCAGCTGAAGGTGCAATTGCCTTTTGTAGGTGTACAGCATCCACTGCTGGAAGTTAGGCAAACAACTGGGCAACCTTCTGCTGCCCACAGCAGCTCTCACAAGCTCATGCCAAAGAGGCTTCTCACATGACCCAGAGAGAACACAGCATTTTCTGTAGAGTTATCACCCTGCAAAGGTCAAAGAACAGTAGTTAATGTTCATTTCTCCTCTGAAGCTAAGAGCAATAGTCAAGGCTATAGCGATTGGAGACAGGTTTAGGGAAATGTCCTGCTGACACCATTTTATCAAAGTTGCAAGAAAACTTAAGCTGTCCAATTTTTCAGAAGCTGTCTTTGACATCTGGTCCCTAAAGAAATGAAACATTCAAGATTACCTAGACCCACTAATTACATAGTAAATAACTACAATGGACAATAAAAATATCTCTTCCTACAGAGAAAAATAAGCATCACAGACACGAACAGACTTCCTTCTATAGAGTTTTTCATAAAAAATCTGCCCTTGAGGTGAACCTGCTTCAACACCACACTGACACCCTTCCTGCAGACAGAGGTAGGAAAAACAGAGACACTCTTTGTACCTGGGAAGATGGGTTGCCCCCAGAGCTCCCCTCAACCCATCAGCAGGGGGGTTTCTGCCCCAGACCTGCAGCTTGCTTCCCACCAAGGGAAAACAGTCTTTGCCATGTATTGTCACACTGGCCACTGCTACAGGTTCCTTGAGGAAACAGAAAATCTATCACAGCAGGCAGAAATCCATGGCAACCTGGGCTTGCCTACCATACACATAACCCTTCTCCAGAGCTCTCTGTCTGGAATAACTTAAAATCCTTAGGGTAGTATCACCACTGGAAGGATGGGGTAGGACCCTTCCCACTCACCAAGGCCCTTAGGTATTTCCCAGTGCTGGTGGAAAGCCTCGCTCAAGAAATTCAGAGGGAGATTCAGTGCACTGATATGATAAAAATGTTGGTGTAAATGACTGAAGCATCTCACGCTCTCGGGAGCAGAATTTCTTTCTACAGAGTTGCCTACACTGCTCAGGGTATAAACAATGCCTACCTGCCCAGCAAACTCAAATTTAAAATAATCTGACAGAGAAGAGGCATCAGAGCAAGCTTCTTTTTCACTGCTGGCCAACAGGGGCATGCTCTGGCTGACATTGACAAGACCACCCTGGGTCTCCAGCAGGGACAAAGCCCTCAGCCACAGCTGGAACAAGTCATGCCAGGTCATGATTGTCTCTGCAGAAGTTCTCCTTGTTCCATTCCCACTCCAGCATAGTGCCCACATGTGGGCAGGGCTGTGGTGGGCAAAGTGCTACAAAGTCATACAGAAATTAGCAAATTGATTAGCCAAGCACATAACAGTACAGTTCCCACTGTTTTCACAAATCTTACCTGAGCAAAATGTGGGCAGCAGAGGTCAAAGACATGTCTTGTGTTGTGGGCCAACAGTGTGAAATCTGACATAATCAAGCACCACTGCTCCTGTTGGGCGCGTCTGCTGAAACAGGGCCTTTAGGCAGCCACTAGACTGAGCTCAAGTTATGTTAAATTCCGTAAAAACACAGGAGAGATGATGATCCCAGCTGCAAACTAAGAAATTGGACTTCAGCCCCCGACCACTGAAAGGGGCACATAAACCATTTTATATATATCAGAGGAATTTCTGAAGCTGCATTATAAAAGCATGAAGCACTAACTCCTTACAACAACAACAACAAAAATCCACAACACAGTTAATTTTGAGCTCCAGCAGGAAGTCTGCAAAGTCGTATACATTTTCTTATTCTTTTTTTAAGCACTTCCTTCAATGCCTCCGGCTTGCTAAGCATCGTTTGATGCCTGCTGCATTAGACCGTACCTGTGAATCTGGAATATCTTACTCGGTCAAGGCGACCTAAGCAGTCTTAGGGCGGTGTGTTTTGGGCGGTGCGCTCTCCTCTCCGGGCATGCGATCACTGCCCTCCAGCGGCACCGGCCGGGCAGGACCCGCCGCGGCTGCCGAGCCAGGCCAGGGCCAACGCTGCGCCCGCCCGGCTGCCGCAGCGCCCCTCAGCCCTCAGTGCCCTCCCGCGGGCCCGGCTGCCGCAGCGCCCCTCAGCCCTCAGTGCCCTCCCGCGGCGCCCGCCCGGCTGCCGCAGCGCCCCTCAGCCCTCAGTGCCCTCCCGCGGGCCCGGCTGCCGCAGCGCCCCTCAGCCCTCAGTGCCCTCCCGCGGCGCCCGCCCGGCTGCCGCAGCGCCCCTCAGCCCTCAGTGCCCTCCCGCGGGCCCGGCTGCCGCAGCGCCCCTCAGCCCTCAGTGCCCTCCCGCGGCGCCCGCCCGGCTGCCGCAGCGCCCCTCAGCTCGCACTGAAAGGCGGACAGCACTGTAAGGGCAGCTGGGAGTTTTCCTTTCAGGAGCTGAGCCCTTCCAGGGAGCGGCCGAAGCACGGAAAGGGCACGCTTTGCTCAGGGGTTAAACAGCCGGCTCCTGCAAGGCGAGCGCATCCTCTGAGGCAAGGCGGGTCCTTGGGCACCAGGTGCGACTCCCGGGCCCGCTGCCCCGCAGTGGGAGCACACTCCTCCTCCAGCCTTCCCACCGCCCAGGCCCTGCCGCCGGGAGCAGCAGCTTTACAGCTGAGATACAGCTCTTTGACCGCACTTCAATGCAAAGTCCCAGCTCTGGTGCCCACGTCAAATAACTAGATGTCCAAGCATGAGCCAGGGTGAAATAATGATCCTACTTTCTTCAACCAGTCTCTTCCTTGGCTCCTGTGGTGTTTCCTCCATTAACTATCAGGAACCAGTAGGAATGCTTGAACAATGTACAACTAACAGGCATTTTTTTAATTATTAGAGTCATTTAAACATTATTCTACAGTCCTGGAAAGGGTGAGAATGTTAGAACATTGTCATTTTAAAAACCTGAGCTACACTGAATTTAGGGTAAGAGGAGGTGCTGCTGAGGCAGTAGCACTTTATAAGCACTTTATTGCTTGGCTTGACTCGTTCTTTCTTACAAAATTCAGCACACAGCTGAAAGACAAACATGGTGAAAACCAGGCATTTCTTTAGGAAGGCTGGGGATTCACAGGGGAAAAACTTTTGAAGTGAGGGATAAAGAATTGCTGTGGGCTTTGCTCCTGCACTTTATCTTAATTCGTATGGATCTTGCCCATGTACTACTTGGGCAGCCCTTACTTGTGCCTGGTAGTCTTGCAGATGCCTACAGAAAATCAAAATGCACACAGTGCTGCAGGGCTCCTCACCCCACCTGCTCATCCAGAGCCCAGCAGTGAGCCAAGGCACTACTATGCCACCACAGTGACACAGGGGGCTCAAGGCACCATCTGTGACTTACTGAAGGGCCCCTTGTGTCCAAGAAGAGCAGTGTGGTGCTCACAAGGGTGTAGGAGAAGCCATGGGCATGGATGTGCAGAGCCACTGAGAGCCACAGGCACTGCTCCTTCCCACCCGATGGGGATGACTGTGCTGGCCTCCTGAGCTGTTGTTGGTGCTTTTCCGGCCTGGCTGCCAGCCTGGAAAACAAAGTTCCCAACCAAAGCAAGAGCAAGTGGGGAGGAACACGGAGCTCTGACATTCCTGCCTGCCTCCAGCAATGTTTCCAGAGCAATAGGGCTGCAGAGGCCGAGCCTGCTGTGCTACCAGATGAATAGAAGCAATGGACATGCTACTGCAGCGTCATAATACCCTTCAGCAAGGATTTAGAGCTCAGCCATAGTGCAGCAAATCTCCCCAGTTAAAATCCCTTCCCCAGTCCTGTTAGTACAACTACCAAAGAACAGCAACTTCCCGCTCTGTGAGGCTCTTTTAGACACAGGCTTTATACCCTGCAAGCAGAGGATGGGATTTTACCAAGGGGGATTTTCTTGAAGCTGGAGGACTGAAGAGTACTACCGCTCACCAAGCCCAGCCAGGAAAGGATGGAGCAGAGGGTGATCTGCCAAAGCTTCCTACAGCTGCATCCACTGGCACTAAGGTAACAGCATCCATTTTGCTCTGATTTAACCTGCTCCGTTCTGTTTCTAGAGTCCCTCCCTTGACCTAGGGGATGACTAAGGTCAATCTGAAGGCAATAACTGCCTTAGATGAAGGCAAAACCTGCTGAGGGATCAGGAAGTATGACACCTGAGGGCATGGGAGGTGTAGGGAAGCCCATCCCATATTACAGCCAGGGACAGGGAGCAGTGGCAGGATAAGCAGCAGTTCACCCTTGCAGAAGCTGGAGGATCAGCCACCTTTCCAGTCCCTCATCATGCCCCAGCACCAGCTTCCCTGCACACCACAGCACTGAGTGCGTGTCATGCCATGCAGCCTTGAAAACACAGGGCAGGTACCAATCTGGGCTGGGGAACAGCTGCCTCTTTGGCTTTGCTTGGACAGTTTGTGTGATGTCTGCAGCCCCAGCTGGATCACAATGCAGAACACCCCAGGCCCTGAATGCAGCACTGCTGTGCCCATGGGGCCCAGCCTTGTGCTGCAGAGGTCAGTTGAGGTACCTACCATGCAGAACTTTCCTTCAGCACCAAGGAGGGAATAATATTTTCAAAGTTGGTAAGGCTTGGAGAATTAATTCCTATATGCAACCAAAATATTTCTAGACAGTGGCAGACTTACATCAGGAAAAGAGATCTGAAGGCCCCTACGAGTTTACTAGGGAAATTACTCATCCGCATAGTAATATCTTCCTAGACTTCGCTATCAAAAGTTTCATTTATGGCCAGAAGAATAAGTATTTTATAATCTCATTAAAAACAAAGTACCCTGGATGCATCATGTTTTCAAGTATTGGCCTCAGCAGTATCTTGTGAATGAGAGGAGCTCTGGTTCATTTTACTCTGTATGAAGTGCCCATCTTTACCTGTCTTCTGTACGCACTTTGAGCTGTCTTCTTCTTGCTCTCAACCAGCTGTCTCATTGTGAGGGTGGATGCTGGAAGAAGTGGAGGACCAGAGCAGAAGATACACAAACTGCACAGGATATTTCCAAAATGAATGGAGTTCACAGCTGATTGCTCTAAATGCAGATTTCTGTTTCAACAGGTGCTGAAGGCTAAGAGTGGTGTCCTGAAAGAGAGCTCATGTTTTGCTTCCATTAATTTAATGTTATTTGGACTTTCGAATCAATTCTTCCCTCACCTTCCCAGCCACTTACAGAACAAGGGACCTCCTAACCCCTCAGCAGGATGAACGAGACCAAGGGAGCTTTTGATAGCCCAGAACTTTGGAGCCCAGGTTGCATGCAGAGCAGCACCTCCCTGACCAGTCTGGCACCACCACTTGCATTTGGACAGCAGGCTATGGACACAGCCCTGAATGTAATCCTTATCGTGGTCCTCCTGGTCATCATGGTGTCTCTGGGATGTACAATGGAGATAGCCAAGATCACAGCTCACCTCAGGAGACCTAAAGGTGTGGCAATAGCCATATTGGCTCAGTACAGCATCATGCCCTTGACAGCATTCATATTGGGCAAGCTCTTCCAGCTGGGCACCCCAGAATCCCTGGCCATCCTCATCTGTGGCTGCTGCCCAGGGGGAAACCTCTCCAACATCTTTAGCCTGGCACTGAGAGGGGACATGAACCTCAGGTAAGGAAAGCTATGTGTTCATTGTCCAGGCTAATCTAGTTATATGGCTGGTTCAGAAACTAATTTAATCAACATTAGGAGGCCCTGAGAAGCTGGACAAAGACTGAAATACTAAATCCAAAACATTTTTAAAGCACCCATATTGCTCAATAAGTTAGTTTGTCCCTGTTTTACAATGGCACTTTGTACCTTTCTCTGAATCATTGGCATGCTGTTCTTGATAACATGGGTGCAGGAACACGTTTTCATCTCCACGTAGCAGTACATAGAGCATATATATATATGCTGTGTCTATACATGTAGTTCTGTGTGCACTGATCATGCTGCCTGAAGAGGCTGCATCAGTGAGAAATGTTGAACTAGCAGAACACCACTCTCCAACAAACCCTAGCGATAAGCAAGATACAGCACGAAAATACAAAGTATTACTTTTTCTCTCAGTAGTGAATTTCTGAAATGTGAACTGTACCCTTGTCATGGGTATGTATGTACCCTTTCTCAGCATGAAGCTTGAGTCATTTTCTCCCTTCTTGATTCATATCACATCCTTCTACAATCTGACAGTGATGTTGGGGAGATCTCAGAGACAAGTTGGGAAAAAGCAAAGTAAAGTCATCTATTAAAATCATCTGTCCAGGCAAGTAATCAGATTAGCATATTCCATTTTTAAAAAGTGTTGTTCTTCTACTGAGGGGTTGTTTCTTCATCTCAGTGTTGTAATGACCGCATGCTCCATGGTCCTGGCAATTGGATTAATGCCACTGCTTCTGTACCTGTACTCGAGAGGACTGTATGAGGGTGATTTGGAGGGCAAGGTACCTTACAAAGGAATAATCACCTCCCTGGTGCTGATGCTAATCCCCTGTGCCACTGGCATCATCTTGAATGAGAAGAAACCACAGTACACTGGCCTTATCACCAAGGTAAGAAGTATCCTGTGCTAGTTGCCTTTCAATCAAGGGCCTTGGGGAAGTTCTCAAAAATAGAACCTTGGGGAAGTTCTCAAAAATAGAACCACAGACATATTAACTTCTCTAACACATGGCACAAATCAATGAAAGGGTTGAGGATAGAGCTCAAGACAAGCACTTCACCACTTTAATGGTTAAAAAAGTTGCCCAAGGAGAAGTCATCCATCTTTTCCAGGCAAACACCTTGTAGCCAACTTCCTACATTTTCCTTTTGCTTCAGTTTTAACTTTGGAAGTTTTTTACTACATCAGCACTAATGAACATCATAGGCACTGCCCTCAACTACTGCTGCTACCAAAGCAGAACCCAGATAAAAACCAACCAAACAACCAATAGCCACCCCAAAACAGATTAAAACCAATCCACTGTTCTCAGAGGTCTAGCACAAAGCAAAAATCAAATCACAAAATTGCTGCTTAATTCGTTGAGATAACTATCCAACAGAAGCCACTGTATCCCCAAGTGCCCACTTAGTGCCTGGAATCACATCCCTGCCTCCTTTATACATCAGGCATTTAAACAGCAAAACAGAAATCCAGACAACCAGATACACCATTGTCTAACTCAAGAATTCTGCTAGGCTCTACCCATGAGTAAAGTGGTTTCCTCAGCACCTGCTTGGGGTAGACTAAAGCCACAAAGGGACCTGGACAGAGACAAGTAGCAATGCCTGAGAAACAACCAGCTTGTGCAGCAAGAGCAGACATTTTGCACATAGACTAGAAAGGTATTTGGTTATTTAAGGTCTCTCTTGGTACTAGCCCAGGATGGTCTCTTGTTGGTTACTGGTAACATGTATGTACATGAAAGGCACTTATGCCCTCTGTGTACTTCACGTGATGGACAGAGAACTGGGTACAGCGGCTTCTAAGAGCTGAGGCAAATTTTGCTGGGGATTTCTCTCTTGTCCACACCTCAATCACTTTTACTTTAGGCAGGGATAGTTATGCTTCTACTGTCATCTGCTGCTATAATTGCTCTGTCTGTGGCCAATATGGGAAGCTGTATCATGGCTGTCTTGTCACCACCTCTCCTGGGAACTTCTGCCTTAATGCCCCTTACTGGATTCCTGCTGGGCTACGCTGTCTCTGCAGCCTTCAAGCTTGATGACCGGTATGTTCTTCCACACCTCCCTCCCCTCTCTCTCTCATCAGGAACAGAGAGATTTGGCAGCTCTGCTTTGCAGAGCAATGGTGAAAACTTGAATTTTAGGAATATACTTCTGTAGAACACTGACCCCATTCACCCAAAATAGGATCTAGGAATACAACCAGACACAGTACAAGCTGGTCCCAAGCCAGTGACTCCCACAGCTTGAGTGGGAAGAGAAATTACTTTAACCTCTGCTTGGCTTAGCTGAGAGGGGAGGAATAGCTAAGCAGGTGTTTTTGACACAGGCACCTGATCACCATGGAAGGTTCACTGAACAAGTAGATGGATGGTTTTGGCTTAAGGCCACTAGTGACCTGCTAAACATATTACCACCCTCTGCTCTTGGTAATGAAGCTGGGGGGAAAAAATTACTTCCAAGAAAAAACCCAAACGCAAAACAACTGAGAAATACCAACAGAGCTCAAACCCCAAGTGACACGATTATTCCCCAGCTGGTTACTACCTCAAATCAGTCAGTGCATTCTCAGCTACAGCCCCAGGAATTTAGTATGAAAACCTGACATATAAAACCTGCTCCTCCTTGTCCTACATAAACCAGGTAGGAATCCTCCTAGTCTTTATACCTTCATATGTTGGACTCTTACCGCCTCATGAGATTACTTCTCTGTAGGAAGCTGCAGAGTCCAGAGTAGGACACAAGGCCTCCCATGCCATTGTGAACAAAGTTCACATTTGTAACATGATCTGTCTCTGCCCATTGCTAATGGAGCAGGAGGCAAAACCTTCTGGGACTGCAGTATGGCTCCTGACAGAGCAGCTTTTAGCCACAGGAAGTGCACCAGCAAGGTAGGCAGGTCTCTGTTTCAGTTGCTTGGAAGCAATTTGAATCTGTAATCTATTTAACTTTCTCCTTCAGGTGCAGACGGACAGTGTGCATGGAAACTGGCTGCCAGAATGTACAGCTTGGCTTAGCTATCCTCAAGGTTGCCTTTGCCCCAGAGATCATTGGTCCCCTGTACTTCTTCCCACTGCTCTACTTGCTGTTCCAGCTTGGAGAAGGATTTCTGCTCATCCTGGCCTTTCGGATCCATGACAGAATAAAGCAAGCCAATGGCAAGTACAGCTTTGCTCCTTTAGTTCTTATACTTTCCACACTAAGCCATACATGCTTACAATGTAACCACCAATGCATCGCTGCTTTATGAAAGCAGAATCCAGTTGCTCTTTAACTAGGGATTACATACCCAGCACCTTAAATTCAAATCAGAGTCAAAAATTCTGAGGTAATTGAACACCTTAGAAATATTCCATGGACTTCTTGCATGAGTAGGATGTTTCATACAGCTACATACTATCAAAACTACCAGTGCTCAGGTTTTCAGAGTCTGGTGCTTTAAGCTACAGTGAACACCCTGTGAAAGTCCTGACTGGCACTGAGCACATGCAAAGAACAGAGGTGTTTGCGTGTGGCTAAAACTACACAAAAACATTACATATTCTTTAATGCAACGAATCCCAGCTTTGCTTCAAGCTGTTAAGTGATTCCCTGAGAGGACAGAACTGCCAAATACTGCAGCCAAAAGAACAAAACATTTGGATCTTTTGCTAGAAAAGTACATTAAAAAGTACATAGAGAGATTGAAACTTCATTTTAAAATATATACAATACTGGTACAGATGTGAAATAGACTCGTCTCCAACTCCAGGAGGTCCCTAATTCCAAGCTCAGATGACTGCACAGATGGCTGAATGAGATCCTCCACCCACCACCCCTCTGATGCTGCCAGTACTTTTCTCCACTGCCTTGAAAGAGATGCAGCAGAGTAGCTGCTACAGAGCTGCTTCAGGATCACTTCACCACATCGTATAGCTATGCTGGAGGACAACTTAATGGAGGGGGGGAAAACACACTCACTTGGATCCTTGGATGTGTTCGGAGCAAAGCAGTTGATGCTGGAAACAGACATGCAGGTGCTGGCAAGACTAAAACAAAAAGGTGGTATTCCAGCCTCTGGGTCATAAATGACTGGAAACAAAATGGCTTCAGTCTTTCAGCTGGAATCCCAAGTTCCTTCCTCTTGTTTTAAATTACCCAGTAATTCCAGTTGTAGTTGTCACAATCTTTCCCTAACGTGGTTTCAGAATTGCCTATTCTCACATTTTTCTCTTTCTTCAGATGCAGCAAAAATTATCTGTGCAGGTGTGGACACATTTAGAGCTCAAGAAATGAAATCAGTGTTAAGACATTGCAGCAACAGTGGAAAACCAGGAAAACAATATATGGATTCAGCAGCAGTTGCTCTCACAACCCTCCAAGCTCCACCTTCTGCAGCCAGCTCATAGGTCTCCAGCTGTTCTGTCAAACCTATCGATATGCTCACTTCACAGCAGCCACAGAGCCATCTGCACCCACGGTTATTCCCCAAAGACCTTGCTCCAGACTAAGCCTCACTCTGTCAGACCAGAGAGGAGACTTTCAGTGACTTCAAAGTCATTGTGACAACCCTTTAAGAAGCTGAAAAACATGCCCAGTGATTGTCCCAGTTTTTCCTGTAAGAAAATCACTGCCTACATCAGTTCCCTTTTTTCATTTCAGTTACCTGTAACTGTCCTGCTGGCACATAATGGAAGCAGATCCTGACAATATCACTGCAGATTAATGTAAATCCTTTACAGACCCAGAATGAGTTGTGAAGTTTCTCCATGCAGAAGCCAGTGAGATCAAATGCACAGCCAAGCAAGCCCATGGGCTGTTGGTTTCTCCCATCCTCCAACAGGTACTATGTGGTACCACTGATTCCCCAGAGCAGGGGCCACACAAACCATGATCATGGCTACAAACTGCCTTTGTATGCTGAGTTTGGGCCCAGCAAGCTGTAGTTCCAACACCAGATGAACCTTAAACATGCCTTCTTTTGTAGCAGTCACTGAACTCAACGCCACACCTGTTCTAGACACAACCTAGGTATGGTCGCACTACACACACAGTACCAGAAAAGACTGGCATCAACATCTCCCATGTCCAGACTACGCCTTGTAACCCAAAGTAGTTCATCTTAATTAAGAATAAACTGGTTTGTACCAAGAACCTACAATAAATAAACTGTCATTTCTTATGCCAGGAATCAACATAAGCCTCCATACTGCAAAGCCTGGGAATTTAACAGGAAGCTCATCATTACAAGAGCTAGCTCCCCAGGGACAATGCAGGCACCTGTTCATGCTGCTTGCACGGCAAGTAAGCAGTGTGGCCTAGAAACACAATTCGGAACAACTATTTATGGAGCAGATAATACTTCACATTTAGCCTGAAAGAAGTCCGTGATCCCTTTCATCCCATCAAGTACCTTCAGCCACTTGGGTTCCAGTGGAAGCCAAGTCCCACTTGGACACAGATGCCCATCATCATCCAAGTTAGGATGATCGACTCAAGATCTCTACACAGCTGACTTTCCAACCCTGATGAGTGTGAATGCTA